CATCAGCCACAGTGGGCCGCGCCCGCGCCCCGCTCGCCCGGGAAGAGCCTCGTCTGCCAGGGACGGGGCAGTAAGCCAGCGAGTGACACTGACTCCGGGCGCGTCAACTACTGAGGTCATTAGTCCCGTGTGTGTGCGTAGCGCATGAATACCGGGATGTGGCGGTGTTCTTCCTCGCGCTGTTTGCTGGGATCTGGCTCCGACCTATGCGTCAGTTTACAAGGTTTTCCACGTTCAGGTATCTCCCCTTATCAGGCCATCCCTTCAGCCGGGACAAACTGCAAGCTCCCGATTGATTGATTGTATCACGTTTTCGGGCGTGCCTACTGCTAAGATCATTATTCCCGTAAGATAGTGAATGTTCCGGCGCCGATCCACATGTTTGCTTGCGGGAGTTTGACCCCAATCAGGTATATCCTATCAGCGGGACACCGCCCCAGATGGTACAATCTCTAACGTCCCGATCGGGCTCCCGGCTAGTGTACTTGTGTAGTTCGTGTTAGTGGAAGTGTGTGTGTAAGGGGAGAGGGGAGGACAAGGAAGGCGAAGGAAATATATTGCGCAGACCGGGGCCCTTTTGTTCGGATACTACACTGGTTTTCGCCCCGATAGAAGTGTCGTCGAGACAGCGACTGAATTCAGTATAGCTATCCAGCTCGTATCGAAAAATCCCAACTGTCTGGTCTTAGAACTACAGGACGACCCGACCAGAAACACACTAAACACTGAATATACCGGGTGTAATAATTCCAGACACCTTTTAACATGGCACCACTGTGTGGCCCACGGCTGCATCGGCGCAGCAGTGCACAGCAACTCGTCGCTTTCAGCCGATCGCACAGCACCGGGCAGCGCAAATAGGGCTGCGGCATCCGACTGAACACGCCGCTGCCTCTCTCGTCCCCTTTCTATGGCTCCTCGCGGGGCACACCGGCGCCATCGCGCTAATGGCGGCAAAGTGTCCCTCGCATTCACTGCCCGGCGGCATGCGCGGGTTCCCACACAACTAAAGCCGCGAAAAATCGGAACACGTCCTTTACAAGAATAACGGAAACTGATGATTGCAACGCACGAGGTAGACCCGTGTGAATATTACGCACTTTGCAAATCACTGCTTTGAAAGTGCAAAAAACGTTGCGTAGTGGAAGCAACTATGTTTCTGACAACCTGTGTTACAAATTGGCGGTACCCCCCCCCCCTCAAAAATGTAATGGAAGTTCATGTGAATAAAGGGCTCGTTTTGCAGACCACGGCACAAGAAACCAACTGAGGAACGGCACTCCGACTTTAAAGGTTTAGGAAGCATCGTTTCCGATTTATGCACGATGGTAACGTGATATATGCGATGCGGGTTGCATTCGTGCCTGCCTTCTCCCAAAATTATAATCTGCAAACATACATTTTTTACCTGTTAGTCTGTTTCATGCAGTAGAAGGAGTGATTCGCTCCCTAGAAGTAGTACACTGACTTGGTTTTGTGTCGGTTGTCTCTAATGAATGGTACAAAATCGTGACCTTTTCTTAGCTCATTAAAAGAATACATACAGAAAAAAGCAATACACAAGAATTGCAACACAAGTGTAGGAAGGCGTTCATTGCAATCGATGTGTGATGAATTGCTACACTTCAGTACCAAAACGAAGGAGTTTATGCAGGTAAAAATAAGTTGCATTCTGTTTTTTCACTGCTACAAACAAAATTTAAAACAATGTGTGTGTTCATAAAATGACTATATACCATTAAAATGATGTTATTGAATTAGACCTCGATAGTCACGGTTGCAACCAAAGTTATCGTAGTATCCGACCAGTATTGAAATCACGATGGTAACATTGGTTGCGTATAATGACCGCAATGTACAAACTATTAACCTTCCAAATAGACATTATTTTGTCCATCTCATAGAGTCACCATTAAACAAGTTAAATATTAGAATACGCTCAACTAATACAAACGTGGTGTTTTAATAGACCATGTAAAGACAACGCTATTAAAAGTTTCCGCAAGAACATCCATGTACTGGTAGACGAAAATCAGTTTGCGGTGCCTGGTACATAAAATTGTATGTACGCGTACATGCAAATATTCGTTAATACAAGCTTGAAATGTGTTCATTAATTTTAATGGACCTACAGCATTTAAAACTATTTTTAATGGCGAAGCTTCACGAAAGAACAAGGAGATATTTCCGCAACAAATTTAATATCGCAGCAAAACCTTAAACTGTACTGTTTGTTTCATTGTACTTCTGAGGATACACTATTCTACGCAAGAGGCTAATTGGTACAAGCCATTAAATTGTTCTGGGTTGGAACAGAACACCAGCAGCATCTTACAACACCGAAGCCTAGCACTAACAAGGGGATTAAGGTAATGTCCTGGGATGATACTTAGTTTGGGGTTTGTTGGTTCATAACAATAACGTGAATGCGTTTCTCATTCCCACCGGAACAACACCGTATCTATTAACTAAATTACATTTAATACGTTTATGGCTATACGAGGCAAAACATCCCATATTATAAACTACATTGAATTAATTAATATTCGTTGATCACAACAAATATTCGAGAGGTTATTAAAAACGGAAGAAGTCTTGTTTCCCATGAATAGTGAATGCAATACAAATTAACGCTTTTTACTCGACTATTAAAAGGGAAGAGGGTTTTGTATTTCACTGTGGGCTAGGTGAGTTTCTGGACCGATCAAGGTTATTTGTTGAGGATGAACTAAAAAAACTATATTAACGCTGGGGCAATATAGGCTACAGAAAGTTAATTAAAAACAGACATCCATTTCCGTTATAAAGCATGTAATAATTACTTAGAACCATTAGATGTTTGAACGCATTAAAAACGAGGCTTCCTGTATTTAACGTTATTCTTTCGCCGGCGGAATAGAGGAGCTATAAAGAACCCTCTTTGTACAGTATTTGAGCTGTAAAACAGTTTATATCATCAACCCCATCAAACCGCGCGCATCGAGGTTAAAAGACGATTTTTATAGCAGCCAAGTTCTTTGTTTCCAAAGTGAACGATAATCTGGTATTTTTCTTTTTCTTTTGGCGATACAGGTTGAAGAGAAGCAGTCGTTCAGACGCACCTTGGGCGAAAGCAACGGCCCCAGGCTGCAGGTATCGATGCATGGGAGTGGTGTTCACAGGCCAATGGGCACACTTGCACCCGCCCACCTGTGGAACCTGGGCCTTCCGAGCGCCTCTACCTGCACCGGTGGGGGAGGGAGGGGGCTTTGTGAGGCGATTTTATGAAATGCGAGGGAAGGCCGGCAGGTGCGAGGGGAGCGTGGGAGGATGCGAGCCGACGCGCGGGGCGTTTCGCTAAGCCTGCCCTACTTTCCTTAGAGGCGTATTTGTAGTCGACATTTGAGCTAGTGGTTGCTTAAAAACATTTTTTATATAATCCATATTTCCTAGTGGTAGATCCAAAATGGTCCGTATTTCATAGACGGAGATCCACAAAGATCCATATTTTAAAGACGGAGATTCTAAAATATTATATTTCATAGTCGGAGATACAAAAAGATTATATTAAATATTCGGAGATCCAAACAGTTCCGTATTTCCTATACAGAGATCCAGAACGACTCGTATTTCATGGCCGATGACGATCTGCATGTCTTACACGTAGATCAAAATGGTCCGTATTCTATCGATGTTGCTGACGGAGGCACGAATGCATAAGTGATCGGAAACATGCCTTCGTGTCATTTGCAGCAGCTGTTTCGTGTTTCAATGGCTACGAAGAGTACACTTATAATATTTTTCGTACGAAGAGGGCCTAATTTGTTTTGTACGCATCCGAAATAGCGCCTCATTGAACAGTTTCAATGAATTGACGTAACGTTTCATAGTGCGAATGGTGTACTGCCTAAAAGGTTCGAAGTATTCTGCGACATAATTGTCATTATTTTCTATTGTATACGTGAGCGTCGCATAATCTTAATTATTAATTTCCAAAGGACGCAGAGTTTTTTTTAAAAAAATGGAGCCTCCGACCATGTGAGAGGATCAATGGTTTCGTTTGATAAATTCGTTCGTAAATTTAAAAAAATGTTATTGGACAAAGTAGCCCAGAGGAGCCCAGAAATGTAGTTGCTTAGAAATACTCTGCTTTTAAGTTGCACCCATGGATGCTTATGGTATATAGCGATACACCTCGAAACGAACGAAATTAACCTAAAAATATGGGTAAAGGAACCAAGAGCGTGCTCTCAAGATCTAAGCGATTGGAGCAGCGGAAGGAGGTACACCTACGGCGAAGGACGTCCATCACCCAGTTCCTTCTGGCCGTGACGAGGATGACGATGGAGATGATTCGGTAGAATCGTGTTTACAAAAGTATTAACAATATTCTTCAGAAAATATAGCATAAATCAAAGGAGATTATCCGGTTGAGCAGCGGCAGGATGTGCACCCACCACAAAGAAAACTCCCCCGCCCTCAATGCAGGGGCTGTTGTATTTATTAAAGTATTAATAAAGATATACTTGGAAAAGAAAGAAACACCTTTACGACTAGGGAAAGAAGTCAACGACATGCTCAAGATAGCATGCATTTCAGAGACGTAGTAATGGACAAAAGACAGAGTAAGTCCCTTCCTGCTGTGAAGCACGATTATGACAAAGATGATGATTGGGTCGACAATTTGAAGTAGTATCATGTTTACAAATTTACTGTTCACAACGACTTTCTTACAAATTAAGCGAGTCGACTTAAAACTAAGGGGAGACGTGCTCGAGAGAGAAACCTGTCGAGCGGGGAATGACGCACACCGGACGAAGCAAGCTTTCGTTTCAGCTCCTTCCTGCTGTGAAGCACGATTATGACAACGATGATGATACGGACGACAATTTGAAGAAGTATCATGTTTACAAACGTACTGCTACCAACGATTTACTTAGAAGCTAATCAAGCCGACTTAAAACTAGGGAGCGGCGTGCTCGGGAGCGAAACCGGTCGAGCGGCGGGCGCGATGCACTCACAGTGTAGCAGGTTCTTCCAGCTGCTGCCGAGCGCGCGCAGGCATCGGTTGAGGGCGCCGGCGGCGGCGGCGGCGCGGGCGGCGGCGTGGGCGGCGTGGGCGGGGCGGCCGCGCTCGGCCAGAT